CCTCATTGGCGGCACTAGGTAGAGAGAGGATATCTGCCTCATCGGCGTGTGCGCTTGCACTGGTCGGTGGTGAGTTGGAATCACGGCCTGAGCTTGCTGACAGCTTCTCTTGCAGACACTTGTAGCCAGCTGGCGTATCGCAATCAGTCGGAATGCTGGCCAGCGGCGGAGGCTCCCTCTGATACCAGCCTGAGCCGGACGCTCTTTGATTAGCCATTCTGGCGAGACTTTAGCTTGCGATGATTTCTCTGTGCAAGGCAGCCCCAACTCGAAGCGGGCGCGCTCGTTATTGTGAGGCGATTGGACAGGCGAGGACGATGGTGGCGCGAGTCGTCGCAAGACGACTGGTTGCGAGATAGGAGTACTCGACGTAGGACTGGCTGTGGCTTGACAGGCGCTCTGATGAGTTTGTCGACGCCACTCCGTGTCAAAGTGGATGAAGTACCTGGCACGGTGGTGGATGTGAATTGACACTCGCCCGAAATGCTATCTCCGCCTGACTTGCTTATGAAGGATCAGCGTGGCAAGTGGACAGCATGTATCCCCAGAACGCGGCAATCCGTTGTCGAGAACCACTTGAGGAACACGGCTTGACTTTCAGGTATCGGGGTTCGAGGTCAGAGCTCAAGCTCAGGACTGGGTTCGGTGAGCAGTCGCGCACAGACTTGGTCGCAATGACGAGATGAAGATGCTTTGGTGACGAGCTTGCTTGATGCTTCGAGCGCTGCTGGTGAGTGGGTTGAATGCGCTGAGGATCTGAGCCATGCACCCCAGAGTCACGTCTGCAACCGTGATCTCGCCGATGACGACGAGCAAGTGGTGAGATGACGTGGAGCTGTGGGAGCGGGATGCAGGGTTCTGTAGTCTGCGACTGGACCGGTCGCAGCTAGACGAGGGGACGGGAGCAGAATGGAGCGGGTGCGCTGTCTCCGCACTGCCCTAGCTGCGTCGAGATAGCAGCGCGTCGGAGCAAGAGCATTTGAGGAGCTGGTGCTAGATGTCGCTTCTGTTTTGCCGCTTCAGACAGCTCCATAAGGAGCAATTTGGAGTTCTGTCGACGGCTTTGAATGCACCGATACGGAAATCACGAAAGATGAAGACGGTGCAGCCCAAAATTGATGTCTAGCCTCTCGCCTGTCTGCTGAGTTCCAAAGTCTAATTCCAGGCACATACGCGGTCCCTCTCAGATACAGGCTCACGAGCAGTCTCCAAATTTGCGTTGCGAAATCAGGC